TATGTGGCTGCTTTTTCAGACAAAGACAAACTTATCATATCTATGTACAACATAAAATAATCCAAGTCAAGGGTGTTATGCTATATTAATAATTTTTTATTAAAGATAAATACCTTTACTAACAAATTATAAGTATATGTGCCTATTCCCAAAATACAATGACATAAGACTCTGGTAGACTGCTCTACCATACGAGGAAATAACAATTTAAATATCATCCAATGACATAAAAATTTGCTTTAATTGCAAAATCTGACCACAAAGTCTCTGCAGCAGTGGTTAAGTGATTTCCAGTCATGGATTTTTTTTTTTTTTGATGTTTTATCTGGCCAAGTAAAGCAAGTCATCTCTCCCCCACCTGACATTTCCCAGAGCAAAATGCAAGCAAAGGTATCGCTGCCTCTTTGGCTTACATTTGTTGGGGACTGAAGGTCACCATTGCCAGGCGGTGCATCCCAGGAATGCATTCATGAGGAGGCCTGAGTCAGAACGTAAATTCTGCATGCATGGGGCACTGATCTTTTAAACCAGTTAATGGCAATGGGAGAAAAATGGTACAGAACAATATGACAAGGCTGGGGAACGTGTAGCTTGGTGATGAAGCCACCTAGCATATACAGGGCCCTGGCTTCCATCCCCAGAACCAAAACTCACAAAACGACATGACATAGAGGATTACATTTGGGCTGGGCACAGTGGCTCACACCTGTAATCCTAGCTACTCAGGGAGCAGAGATCAGGAGGATTGAGGTTTGAAGCCAGCCCAGGCAAATAGTTCACAAGACCCTATCTCTAAAATACCCAACACAAAAAAAAGGCTGGCAGAGTGGCTCAAGTGGCAGAGTGCCTGCTTAGCAAGTGTGAGGCCCTGAGTTCAAGCCCCAATATCACCAAATTACATTTGCTAGGGAATCAATTTTTCTACATGTTTTTAAAAGTGACTGCCAGCCATGGTGGCACATGCCTGTTTGTAATCCCAGCACTCAGATTTCAATTTTGAGGCCAGCCTGTCTCAAAACATCAAAAATGTAAATATATATAGATATAAATTTTTAAAAACTGATTATGGCTGAGAAGTTGAGAATACATTTTTAATTAATTTAAAAATTTTAGGTTAATTAATACTTTTTTTTTTGTTCAGATACATTTCATCTTCTTCTGCCCACACTGAGGGTGGACAGTTTCACCCTTCATCTTCAAGGCCAGCATGAAAGTACCTCTGGGCTCCTTTCCTGGGGGTTGAACTTCCAAAGCAGGGGAATAGACAGAAATTTATGTTTATGAGTTCCAAGCAGCAGCAAGCTTCAAATTCTACCTGCATCCTAACAGACACTGGAAGACCCTTCACACCCCAGGGATATGATGGAGAGTTTATTTCAAATATACCTCTCAGCTCATGATAACACTTCCTAATGCTCACATACGGGCATTTGTGTCATGAAGAACCAGACAGAAAGAAAACTAAGGAGCAACAATGATCAGGAAAGGAGGCCCGAGAAACTGGTGTTTGTTCGTTTCACTTTTTGCTGGTACTGGGGTTTGAACTCAGGGCCTCACACTTGCTAAGCAAGTGCTCTTACCACCTGAGCCATCCAGCCCGAGAAACTGGTGTTTGAAGCATCATTGGCATCCACCATCAGCCCAGCAGTCTAACAGACAGCAACCACCTGGCCGGCCACCAACTTGGGAGGTCCCTTAGGACCCAAGTGAAAATTAAGGTTGTCTCCTCTGAGCCAGGGACTCAGCCAGAGAAAAGAGTAAGGCCAAGAAAACTTCCCGACTGCTGGTACAGACACAGCTCAGAAATGGCTAAAATGCCAGTCCCGTATGCAAATGTTGAAAATTCATTCTTAATACAAAATGTCGTAAGAAAGCAAGTACTTCCAAATGAGAGACGTGGAGAAAATACAGATGACACCTCATCTATTTTAAAATGGTGCACAGCCTCAGTTACAGCAAACCAAGCTTGTTAGTCCATCACAGAGCCACTCACTCGGGATGGAGAGCCCAGGAGAGCCACCAAGGCTGATTCTTCCTTTGGAACTGTGCACGGGGGACTCTGTAGGGCAGCCTGCCCTGTCTGCTTGTGAATCCCGCAGATTCCTTCCTCAGGGCACTGGGGTCAGTTTCACTTCATTCCTCCTCAAAGTTGGAGTTTAAGAGAATCTTGGACAGGCCACCCAGCAGCTCACACTTCCACGGTGCCACACCTGGCCTGTGGCACACACTTGTCATAGGATAGGTATGCAGATGATTGTGTAAAAGTGAGGACTGGGGAGACCTCACAGCCCCTACACTCACCCCAATGGCCGAGGGGAATCCTGGGCACCTGTCCATTCATTCATATGCCTCTCTCATCTCTCTCTCTTCTCTCTCTCTCTCTCTCTCTCTCTCTCTCTCTCACACACACACACACACACACACACACACACACACAGGGGATACCGACATGGTACCAAGAAGGTGGCTTCCTTAAAGGGGTCCCTTCTCCCTCAACTACCTTCCTCCCTATGGACGCTCCTGTGGTTTCAGTATGTCTCCCAAAAGTTCGTGCATTTGGAACTTAACCTCCAAAGTCATCTGTTAGTGGTATTTGGGGTCAGAACATTCAGGAAGTGATTAGGATTAGATGAGGTGAGGATCCCACGATAGCATTAGTGGCTTTATAAGAGGAGGAAGAGAGACCAAGCTGGCACACCTACTCTGTGTTGCATGTGATACTCTCCCCCATGTTAGGGTCCAGCAAGAGGCCTCACCAGATACCAGCACCATGGTCTTAGGTTGTGTAACCTCAAGCGAGTTGTTCTACCTCTCTGCCTGCCTCAGTTTCCTCATCGGTAAATGGCGGATATCAATGGCAGCCTCCCCTAGAGCTGACATGAGCATTTCAGTGAGGTAGAATGCAGAAAACCCTCTCTTAGTGCCCGGTGGATGGTGTTTGCTGGCAAACCAACCTCTGTGCATGCTGGTGAGGGAAGCCCCATGTAACCAAAAAGGCTGCTGCCAGTCCCGTTTGGAGTTCACGTTGTATTTCACCAATAAGCACAGCCTCCTTGCCTCTCAGCTCTCGCTTCCTCAAAGCCTTCCTCTCAGTCAGGGGACACAGGCTGTACTGTGACTCTCATTCCACAGCATGCCAGCTGCACAGTGTTGGGCCAGCCTCTGGGTCTCTCTGGTCTCCACACAAAAGAGGAGGCAGGACTGAATAAATCATAGGTCCTTTCACCAGCTAGATCATGAAATAATTCTTCCCTAGAGAAAAACTATTTCCGAAGAAATATTGTGGAGGAAAGAGCGTCATGCAGCACATCCTTTAGGCACGCGTGGAGGGGTGGGAGGAACCTACTCCTAGCCTCATTTGTCTCTGTGGCCAAGGGCTGTGAGCTGGTGCTGAGCTGTCCACACGGAGGCCACTGATGTGACCAGCCTCAGCCACAGACACAAGGGGAACAGTTGAACAGCCCCAGGCCTCCCACCAGACAAACCTCTCCACCTGCAAAGCATCAGAGGCAGCCCGTGCTAAGGAACCGAGGGCATGGCTCTCGAAGACTCTCGGTCTCTGATTCTTCCACCTGAGAAGTATGGCTCTTCTGGACATGACTGTGTGTGTTCAGAGCAGCCAGGGTGGTGAAACATCTGCAAGGCCACAGCTCCAACCACACACAGGAAGCACTGTGCAAAACAGGCTCCTCTTGCAATTGAATGTTATCCTAATCACTGTGCCACAAATAACATTTCCTGAGTTCAGGTAATGAACTAGGGTCCAATGTATGTAAGTTACACAGCCGCGTGAGGCCTTTTCTCTGAGTACTTAGTGTAAAGTCTGGTAAAGTAAAAAGTGGAGAAAAGAAAAAGAAGCAACTATTCCCATGATCCAGGGTGTGACTACCTTTCATAGACTGGCTGAATGGGCACAAGCCCTTGCCAAGAAGCACCTGTTCTTCACCCCACCCTGCAGACAGACTCGTACAGACCACTGCGGGAAGAATGAAAGGTCAAACTCCAGACACAGCAGTCAGCTGTGTCATGGCCATGGGGAAACTCAGTGCTGATGAGCTGGGTCAGGCTGGGACCACAGACACAGGGAGAATCCAGGACCAGGCTTGCTTCCATTCTTTGAGAGAGTCTTGACTTAGACCCAACAGAACTCCCAGGAAAGCTCCTAGACTCTTGCACCGGCCACGCCATGCCCACCTCCCTTCAGTTTGAACTCAGGGACCTGAAGAGCTCCAGCAAAGACAGGACATTCATAGCAAAGAGACAACAGGCTTCCTGGGGACATCAGCAGTGTGGTCAGTCTGTGTGCAGGTCAGACTCAGCAGTGGCTTGAAGTTATAGTTATAAAAACCAATTTCCACCTGGAGCTTTGTCTTTTTTGCAGCCACTGTGTGAGTGCACGCCTTCCAGGGTGTTCTTGAGGGTATGTTGAATACCAAATCGCCAGCACAACCAGGCCCGATGCCTCATCCCAGTGACGGGAGAGAGCTGGGGTGAGGAGATTCATCCCAGCCAAAGCACTAAGAAGCACAAAGGTTTGGAGCTCAGAAGCAGAGGACTGGAAGAGTGCCAGCTGGAAGGCTTCCCTTCACACCTCTCTCGGCCACCATCCTCTCTGTCATCTGCTGGCCGTGAGCCTTGGGACACATGACTGTGTCTTTGGCTGCTTAAACTACCTGTAAAACGAGAGTGATAACATCCATCACGTCACACTGCTACTGGGCCTTGAAACAAGCAAATAGAGGCATGGATCAAACACTTAGCACAGTGACACTGCTCAAGAAATGGGACCTGATATTGCTTGGGCGCCAGCAGGAACTACTCAGGGCTTCATGCAAGGGTCCAGTGACTGTAGTTTTCACAAGTCACTGTGAAAGGTCCTACTCACTTTCTTCCTCGCTCCCTCCCTACCCCCAAAGATTCTCAGCAACACCATCCCAAATTTTCTCAGAACTATCACCATAGGTTTTCTGAAGTTTGTCCAATGTGCCATCGGGCTCTTCTCAGACAGACAGACAATCTTCCTCCCTGGAGCCTTCTAAAGCCTGCCAGTAGGTGAGCAGCTCTTTGGGTGTGACAAAGTGACAGGCCACAATTTTCCGAAAGCGGCACGTGGAGAAGCGCAACCCCTCTGGGAAAAATGTCCGCTGGGAGTGCAGCTCCTCGGGTTTGATTTTCAACTTGGCCAGGCAGAGCCCCACAAAGACGTCCTCCAGCTTGATGAAGGGAACACTTTCAGACACGTTGTACACCTCACTTGCCACATCACTGGAAAAGACATAGCCAGTGCCAGAGCAAAATGGCGGGTACTTGTCCCAGGGATATTCAAATTTACTTACAAACCACTTGTTCAACTTGTTCCTTATGGGAAACTCATTGAGCTTTAAGTAGCCAGTGAAAAATCTCGTCGTTCTGTTTTTCTTCAGCAGTAACTCGGTGAGATAGTGGACGTTCACAAACATGTCTGAATCTGTTTTCATCACAAAACTTGCCTGTGGACAAAAGTGGTGGACCCACTCCATGCCCATCATAGTCTTCAGGGTCAAGTTGAAGTAGACATCCTTGAAGTCCTTCTGGATGATGTCACCATGCTGCTGACTCTCCTGGGTCACCGCCGTCATCTCCTCCATGCTAGCCGTGGCCCCCAGGAGGAAGAAGGCCCTCACATGCTTCCCTCTCACCATCGTTTCTCTCCCCCACGTCTTCCGGATGGCCATGCGAGCTGCCACCTGCTTGTGGGACGAAGTCACCAGAAGGACAAGGAAGGGGGGATTCTGCCTGCAATCAATATCCGGGAGCTGAAGGAATTCCCCGTGTTTTTTCTTGAAAATAAATGGCACTTCTTCAAAAGGAGCCATGCTGAAATATAAACAGAGTGCCCCTACTACCAGAAGGCAAGTGTATATCAGCTTCATCTTCAGAAAAGCCATCTGAAAGACCAAGTTCAAGAGGTTAGGCCCCACAACACAAGGGCAGGACAAGTACAAAAGTTCAGAGAGACAGGAAGAATAAAGTCTAGTGTCCTATGGCACAGTGAGTGGCTTCATCTCCCAACAGTCTATTATGCATTTTATAAAGATAGAAGAGTCTGAAAGTGCTCAAAACAAGGAAGTGATACATGTTTAAGGAGATATCTTATGTGAGCGATTACCCCATCACACTCTGTGTACATAGAATGAGACAGCACACTGTTCCCCATAAATGTGGACCATTTAAAATAAAGATCAGATTTTTTTTAAAGTATGAGTGCACATGGTGGAATAACTGGGGCAGAAGAAAAGACCCATGTTTCAGAAACTCTGTCATCTCTCTGCTACACAAGTAGGGGGCCGTGGCTGAACACAGCACAGATGGCCACCCACATATTTGACTCTGGGTACCAGACAGAGAGCAGAGGGATTCTGGGTGCAGATCCTGCTCTATGGCTGGCCAGCCCTTAACTGATGGGAGCCCCAGATTCTTTACACAGGGCCAAGTCTCTCAATAGGTCCTCCATCTCTGCCCTTTGACAGCTGGTGATAAAACATGACTAGAAGGCAACACAGGAACTCGCAGCAGCCTTCTCTGATCTAAGGGAGCACTCCCAAAGAGAAGCAAGTCCAGTTCTCTGATTTGTGCAGCTACCTTGGAATTCAGACTTTTGTGATTTTTGTTTTAAATCTTCTATCTGATTTTCTTTCACCTTCTGCCCACCCATATCTGCTATTCTTGGCAAGTTCAGGATCATCATTAGGAAAGACAACAACTCACTTTTTGCTGGTAAGGGAACATCCAGTTTGTGAGCTAAGCCTCCGGGTAGATGCTGAGAGGGAGTTTGTTTCAAAGAACTGTTGGTACACGACGTTCTGAGCTGTGTTCTACTCTGATGTTCTGGGATTGGTTTATTTATCAAAAATGATGCTTCTGCCTCTCAGGAGTCACTAGGGAAGAAAATAACAGCATTCAAGTCACTCGTGCCTTACTGGCAGGTCTTTCCAATTTACTGTGTAGCATATTTTGCCACCAACCTTTGTGATCTTAAGCAAGCATTTGATCCCCATTCCCAGCCTCATTTTTCTCTCTCTTGTGAAATGGGTACAATGGAGACAAAGTTCCCCATGGAATTCACCTGTCCACAACAATAACAATATGCAAACCTCTGAGAAGCTGGTCAGGCCTAATGGGTGAAGACAGCACCCTCAGAGCCTTCTGAAAAGGAGGCAAGGTGAACTCATAGTTACTTACAATGCAGTGCTTATCCTGATGACTTACCTCACCTACCTAACAGAGTTTGTGGCTGGTGCTTCAAGAATTTAACACAGGATAGATTCTAAGATGGCGGCTAGAGGGAGGAAGCAGAAAGCGAGCCTCCTATAGTGAAATCTTGGAGAGACACTGGAGACACACTTTGCAGGCATAATCACTGAGAAGAGGCATAACTTTGATCCCTTCACACCTCCAGCCTGCGCAGAGCATCTCCACTTCACGTTAAACGGAGAAACCAGGAGGGCCCCCAGGCCGCCAGTCGCCGGCGCCCAGATGGCTTGGGAAGATGCAGACCAGGTGAGCTTCACGGTACCACGGTACTCCCACAGACAAGCCTGGGCCAGAGCAGCATAGCCCCCCAGACAGACCAACCTCCACCCGGGGAAAAAAAGAGAAACTGAGTAATAAGCAATAAGAGCAATAAAGACATGCAGGAAAGAGGATGGGGTGCCCTGAGCGCTGAAGATTGGGGGAAGGGAATCCTTCCCAGGACTGTAAATAAACTGTAAATAAACAAGCCGGGCGGGCCGGAGAGGCTCTGGTGGGAGCAGGGGCGGGGCGCATGCCCAGCAACCAGGAGCGGGAAAGCTGGTGAGAGGAGGGAAGACCCACCTCCCACGTGAACTGTAAATAAACACGCAGGCCTGAGAAAGCAGGTGCAGTGTCATCTCCCCCAGTGTGCTTGGAAAGGGGAAAGCTTGTAGCAGAGGCTCCCGCACAGGAGAACTCTGAGCAAACAAAGCCTGCGGGGCCAGATGAGTGTTAAGCTCATCCCCTGAGATCTACATAAAAAACGCCTCCAGCAACAGCAGGCTGACAGCAGCAGGCAGGCAAGCCACAGCCGCAGATACCATTCACAGACCTGTCTCCAGACTCTTTTTTTTTTCTTTTTCTCCCTACCTTTGATGAGAGAACAACTGAATTACACCTGCAAGCTGAAAAACTTACTGAAACTGTATTGCATTGAACTTGGGACACTTGTGGGGTTTTTGTGTGTGTGTGTGTGGTGTGTGTAGCTTTTTGTTTTTTTTTATGTGTCCCCTTTGATGAGACTCGAAAATCTGAGGCACCATCTCCAGGATTAGGGACTGAGATGGGACACCAAATTATTAAGACTGAAACTTCATTGATTTGACTTGGAGTTTTTTTTTTTAATTTTCTATTTTCCATTTTATTTTAATTCATTTTTATATATAGATATTTCTTTCATTTACTTATTTTTATTTATTTTCTTATCTTTATTTTTTTCATTTTATTTTCTCTTCTGTCTCTCTAATGCTGTTCAGCTTACTGTCAATTAGTACACTAAAGCTCCCTGTTTATACCTTTGAAACTTTCTTTTTTGATACTTGTTGTTTTCCTCTTGTCTGTATTTGTTTTCCCTTTTCTTTAACTTCTTGCTTTCCATCTTCCTCACCCTTCCATTCTAAATATTCACCATTGTTATTATTAAAGCTAGAAAATACTTAACTGACACAGTACAGGGACAGTAACAACACCAAAAGACAATGACAGGAAGACAGAAAAAACAGGGAAACCAGTTTCCCCACAAAAAAAATTAGTACAGGAACCAGAGGGGAATGAAAAAAACAGAACTCAGATCCAGACTCCAACAAAATGAAGATAAACTATGCCAAAGACCCAATGAAGCCCACAAGAATAATTTAAAGACATACTACAGGTACTCAATGAGAATTTTATAGAGATGATACTGGATAGGGTCAACCAAAATGTACAGGAGACACTAAGAAATTCCAAGACAACAAAAATAGAGAATTTGAAAAAAGCAAAAAGAAGAAATAAAGGAAACCATAGAAGCACTGTATAAACACCAAAGTGAAAGAGAAACACGAATAAAACAGATAAATGAACTCAGGACAAAAATAGACAACATTAAAGAGGAAACCACCCAGGATATGGAAACCTCAGAAAAAAAGAAGAAACAGAATTGCAAAACAAAACAGGAAGGCCAATCCAGCAGATAGAACAAAGAAGACAGAATCTCAGAACTTGAAGATGAAATGGTAATTAAAGGAAAAACCAAAGAACTATTAATTAAACAACTCAAGACCTGTGAAAAGAAAATGCAAGAACTCACTGACTCCATCAAAAGACCAAACTTGAGAATCATGGGCATCGAAGAAGGAGAAGAGGTGCAAGGAAGGAATGCATAATATGTATTCAACAAAATAATAACGGAAAATTTCCCAAATCTAGAGAAAGATATTCCCATACAGATGCAAGAGGCCTCCAGACACCAAACAGACCAGATCAAAATAGAACTACCCCACGGCATATCTCATTTAAAACAACAAGTAGAAACTAAGGAAAGAATATTGAAGGCTGTAAGAGAGAAAAAACAAGTAACATACAAAGGTAAACCCATCAAATCACAGCAGACTTCTCAACAGAAACATTAAAAGCAAGAAGAGCGTGGGGTGAGATCTTCGGGCACTGAATGAAAATAACTTCAACCCCAGGATACTCTACCCAGCAAAACTATCATTCAAAATAGATGGAGCAATAAAAGTCTTCCATGATAAGCAGAAATAAAACAATATGTGACCACAAAGCCACCACTACAAAAGATTCTGCAAGGGATTCTGCACACAAAAGTGAAACCAACTTAACCATGAAAGGACAGGCAGCACAAACTACAGGAAAGAAAAAGCAAGACAGGAGAGTAACTCAACTTAGGTACACACAATCAAACCTTCAAAACAACTAAGACAACTAAATGACAGGAATCACCACATACCTATCAGTACTAACACTTAATGTTAACGGACTTAATTCACCCATCAAAAGGCACCACTTGATGAAATGGATTAAAAGGAAGATCCAACAATTTGTTGCTTACAGGAGACCCATCTCACCGACAGAAATAAGCATAGGCTTAGGATGAAAGGCTGGAAGAAGATTTACCAAGCCAATGGCCCCCGAAAACAGGCAGGAGTAGCAATACTTATCTCTGACAAAGTAGACTTCAAACCTACATTGATCAAATGAGATAAAGAAGGACATTCCATACTAATAAAAGGGGAAATAGACAAAAAGGAAATAATAATCATCAATCTGTATGCACCCAATGTCAACGCACCCAATTTCATCAAACATACCCTGAAAGACCTAAGAGCATATATTAACTGCCAACACAGTGGTTGTGGGAGACTTTAACACCCATTATCATCAATAGATAGGTCATCCAAAAAAAATCAATAAAGAAATCAAGATCTAAAATATGCAATAGATCAAATGACCTATAGTGTCTACAGAAATTTCATCCAACTTCTACACAATATACATTCTTCTCAGCAGCCCATGGAACCTTCTCCAAAATGATCATATCCTAGGGCACAAAGCAAGCTCAGCAAATATAAGAAAAAGAAATTATACCATGCATAACTATCTATCACAATGCAGTAAAAGTAGAACTCAACAACAAAAGTAAAGACAAAAAACATGCAAACAGCTGGAAACTAAATAACCATTACTTAATGCAGAATGGATCATCATGAATAAAAGAGGAAATTAAAAAGTTCCTGGAAGTCAATGAAAATGAAAAAACAACCTACCAGAACCTATGGGACACAGCTAAGGCAGTCCTGAGAGGAAAGTTTATAGCCATGAGTGCATATATTAAAAAAGCTGAAAGATCCCAAATCAATGACCTAATGATACATCTCAAACTCCTAGAAAAAACAAGAACAAGCAAATCCCAAAACAAATAGAAGGAGAGAAATAATAAAAATAAGAGCTGAAATCAATGAAAGAACCAAAAAACATACAAAGAATTAAGGAAACAAAAAGTTGGTTCATTTGAAAAAATAAACAAGATCGATAGACCCCTGGTAAACCTGACTAAAATGAGGAGAGAAAAAACCCAAATTAGTAGAATCAGGAATGCAAAAGGGAGATAACAACAAACACCATGGAAGTCCAGGAAATCATCAGAGACTACTTTGAGAACCTATATTCAAATAAATTCAAAAATCTTAAAGAAACATGGACAGATTTCTAGATTACTATGATCATCCAAAACTGAACCAAGAGGAACATTAATCACCTGAATATCTATACACAAAATGAAATTGAAGCAGCAATCAAGAGTCTCCCAAAAAGGAAAAATCCCAGGACCTGAGGGATTCTCTGCTGAATTCTAAACAGAGCTTTAAAGAAGAACTGATAGACATCATCAATAGCTATAGCAAGGTAGCAGGATATAAAATCAACATAGAAAAATCATTAGCATTTCTATACACTAACAATGAGCAAACTGAAAAAGAATGTATGAAAACAATTCCATTTACAATAGCCTCAAAAAAATCAAATACCTAGGTGTAAACCTAACAAAAGATGTGAAAGACCTCTACAAGGAAAACTATACACTTCTGAAGAAAGAGATTGAGGAAGACTATAGAAAGTGGAGAGATCTCCCATGCTCATGGATTGGTAGAATCAACATAGTAAAAATGTCGATACTCCCAAAAGTAATCATGCAATTCCATCAAAATTCCAATGACATTCATTAAAGAGATTGAAAAATCTATCGTTAAATTTATATGGAAACACAAGAGGCCACGAATAGCCAAGGCATACTCAGTCAAAAGAACAATGCGGAGGTATCACAATACCTGACTTCAAACTATATTACAAAGCAATAACAATAAAAACA